GGTAAGAGTGGTGGGCAACTCACTGGCAGGCTGCTCTGGACCAGGCTGGCTTTTGAACTGAGCCAGCAGAATTCTGCCAACTCCATCTGCCATGCTGGGTGCACGGATGAAGCAGGGCACTGCTGGATGCCAGGGTGGGCTCAAAGCACAGGGCAGAGCGTGGCTCAGGACCCCCAGCATTTTTCTAACTGACCTTGGAGGGTTTCCTTCCCAAAACGTGAATCTATTTCTCTCCCTCAGCGCTTCCATGGAATATCTGAGCGTCACCTAAAAGTCATCCCCACGTAAGAATCCCCCCCCCCATGCCTGACCCCTTAGCCGTTGCCTCCTGACCTCCACTCAGGAAGAAACCCTCTCTTTGAAGCTCCCCTCTCCTCTGCATGCAAAGAAGCAAATGCCACCCATTATTCACCAGTATCGTAAATGCTATCAGAAATTCAATTTAGAGACTTTTTCTTGGATCCTGTGTCACGGCCTCCTGCTTTGCAGCAAGGGAGGGCTCGCCTTGGATGGCTCTGTTTATTTATTTTAAGAAATATATTTTCCAAGAGCACTTATCTCCCCAGCTGCATTAGCACACAAGCACCCATCACCAGTACTACTAACAAGAAATGAATTTCTCCTTAATGACAAGATGTCCTCCCGCGGACACACAGATACAGCGGCTGCCCTTGTCCTGCTCGCTGCGACGGGGCTGGCAGGGATGGAATATTGAAATGGGCATTTCGCGGCGGTAAGGAAGGGGGCTGTCTCGGGGCCCCTCTCTCCCCACAGCTCCCAGAGTCAGCTCATCATCTTCCCCCTCCAGAGTCAGCGTGATCAAAGAAATTGGCAAGGAACAAAGGACCTCTCTCTGATCTGCTCCGTGGAGGAGCCCCAAGTCCTTGGGGATGCCACTTTCATCTTTGGCGTTGTCATTAAGCGTATTCGACACTTTCAGAAGCTGCACTGCGGTTTTCTAGCCTGCATCATGTTCCTTCTGGAGCAAGACGCGCCTCAAACTCGCAAGAGGAGACCAGCCCAAGTGAAGCACCTCCATATTTGGACATCACTCCTGGTGCTTAAACTGCTCCCACCGTCAGCCTTGGATTCACTCTTCAGTGAGAAATCCAAGACTGGACCCAGTGTCATTAATTACTTTAATTAGAGAGAAACTCTGTAAATGGGGAGGTCTCTGAGGACCATGTAATCTAGCACCACCACCACCAAGTTAACTGAAGCAATCTAGAGCTGTAACATCCTGGTTCCACTGGCCTTCTAGTCAAGCTTCCTGTTTCCTTGTCAGGCAACTGATATCTATGGGAAGTTCACATCGCTTGGAGTCATCGGAGGGGCTGACAATGCTCACATCTTTGCCACAGGTGAATTCTGCGCTGTGCAGGAGCTCTTCCTTGTGTTGACCTTGAATGTCCCTCCACTCACCTTCACTGAATAACCTTATTAAGTTCTCAGTGCCTCTAAGGCGGTGAGAAAACTCCTCTTGTCTCATACATCTCTACAATGTGACCTGCCTCCAATTTTAAAAAAAGTTCTTCCACTTCAGTATGATGGTCCATTTTAATTTCACCCCCTGAGGATTCCATCAGGAGCCCCAAAGCAGAGGATATCTAAAATAACGGGATGAATACATTATTGTGAGAGGCCTCTCGCGGACTGCGTAAAGCCACTGAACTGGTAGCATAAAAACAAACGGATGGGTGAAACAGCAGTCCCACTAGTTGCTGCGAAGATATTGTGTGGAAGGGCAAGGAGGGAAGAGGCTTGCAGAGAGCTGAAGTGAGTCTGCGAACTGTGTTTTCAAAGAATGGACCCATTTCTTTTCTGGACTAAGGGGTGGCTCTGTTCCCTTCTCCGCATTCTTTTATTTCCTACCTGTTCAGAAGGAGCCCTTTTAACGAATAGATCTCTGACTTCAGCTCACTGATACTCTGAGACTCCAAAATCCAGTTGGTCGATGTTGTGGCCTAGGAGGCAAAGTAGGGACAGGAGTCAACACTCGCGAAAGGTCTCCAAGAAGACTTCTCCCTCAAATGATACGGCCTCAAACGTGTGTCCAGCAGTGGCTACCTTTCGAGTGAACTTCATAAGAACCTACGAGCAAATGTTTCTCCCCTAGAGGTACCTGCCACCGATAGGCCCCAAACTGGCATTTTTTCAAAGATCTGTTCCATTTTTATCAAAAGCCAAAGAGGTGATAGGCAGAAAGTGGTGGGGAGACCAAGTGGTCTGTAATGCCTTATAGGACAGAATAAATATAAAAAACTCCCTACCACCAGAAGAAGTGAAATCTCTCATCTTCAATGACTTTAAAACAAGGATTAGGTGAATGTGTTTAAAGGTGGTTTAGTTTAAACCTCATCTCCTGGGTTCAGCAACCAAGGACTTATGTTTTTATGCTAATTTGTGGACTTCTGAGAAGCATCTCGTTAGTTCAAGTCCTCCTTCAAAGGTGACCTCAGACCTGATCTACATCACAAGTTGCTAGGCAGTTTAAATGGGAAGACTGGATCTCCCCATCCAGAGACTTATGGGAGGGATATAAACGCATTAAATAAATCTGACCTGGTCCAGCAAGAGTTGCATATTTGTATATACATTTGGACGACTTATATGTCAATGAACTACGTTAGCTAATCAGAATCTCCATGTTCAGAGGTAATTTACTACTAAGTAATGACAACCACATTGTGGACGTACTTCTTATCTGATCCAGCAAAGCTTATTTTTGCCCTGCTGTCAATGGAGGGCCAGCATAGTGTTGGGGTTAATGTGCCAGACTGAGACTCAGAAAGGGGAGGCCTGAAGTAGCAGGAGGTGCCACGGAACGCAGCGCGCATCTGTCTCAGAAATGCCACTTTGCGCCCAGCTCAGAAGAAGAGGAACTCCAGTTTTCCACGCAGAACTAAGGAGCCTCCAACTTGCAGATGCCTCCCGTGAGGTTTAACAGCTGGCTCCAAGAATCTGCCAGGGAATGGTTGGCTTGGCAGCAGACACCCTGCTTAGCCCCTTCCCCAGGCAGCGGCGGACTCGGCGTTGTCACAGCTGGCAAACTCAGGCACAGATGTGGTCCCCTGGGAACGCCAGCTCTCCCCCAGCCGGGCAGCCACTGTTTTGGCTCTCTTGAAAGCCTCCAGAAGCACGTTAACAAGAGAGAGATTTCCACTTGCTGGCCTGCAAAGGCGTTTGGATTTCCAAGACACATATGGTGCCAGATGCTGAAGGATTTAAGAAATAAAACCTGACATCTGGGGCTTTTTAAGACAGCCTCTTTTAAACACACACATAGAGTAGAAAATGTACGCCTAGAGGTCTGCCTCCATCCTCTCTGTCTCCCCCTTTTAAAAGCTCAATGTAGATTCTTTTAATTACTTCAAGTCTCTCTTTCTAATTTTTACAACATGCTCCCAGTTGCTTGAAAAGCAGATAGAAAAACTTACACTGCAGCTGAGACAACTCTTACTTTTCCTGTTTGTTTTTACTCTACAGTTTATGAGTTCAGCCAAGTCTGTTCTTTCTATATATATATATATATATAGAAAGTTTTTGATCATAGGGCAGAGTGCTGCTATATTAAGATATTTTTTTTAAAAAGGCAAACAAATGGAGGGGGGAAAGGCTTTTGAAGGTTCCCCCACCCCCAAAGCACCATGCTCTTTTCTTAAAACATGAAGTTTTTGATCATAGCGCAGAGTGCTGCTATATTAAGATATTTTTTTTAAAAAGGCAAACAAATGGAGGGGGGAAAGGCTTTTGAAGGTTCCCCCACCCCCAAAGCACCATGCTCTTTTCTTAAAACATGACATGTGCTCTTAATAACGCTTCAGACCAAAAGAAAGAAAAAAAATCCTGTTTCCTGTCTGGCTCCAGGCCACCCAAAACAGCTAAACAGGGCATGATACGAAAAATGAAAGGGTGTTGTTGGTTTGACGGAGCTCAAGGCATCTCCCTGCCTAGTTTACTCCAGCCGCCCCCATGGACCACCTCCTAAATGACGGGGATGTAAGTGGACCACTTACTGATTTTTTGCTGTTTCTCTATAAATCAACGCACATACCTAAGTGATATTTCCTTGATTGTCAAGGAAAGTCCTTGAACTGTTTGAGTTCCGTGTCCCACTTCTCCGATTCCATGGTCCCTAATGGCTGTTACTATCCCTTAGAGCAGTTTTTCTCAACCTTGGCCACTTTCAGACGTGTGGATTTTGACTCCCAGAATTCCCCAGCCAGCCATGCTGGCTGGGGAATTCTGGGAGTCAAAGTCCACACGTCTGAAAGTGGCCAAGGTTGAGAAATGCTGCCTCAGAGGAAAGACGTCTGAATCAAAAGCCATGATTTCTATCAGCCCCACGAGGCAGACCAGGCCAGGAAATCAGCTCCTAAACCTCCCTATCGCGATTGGCGATAATAACAGAAGGTTGCAAGTCTGGTTGTGCTGTTCATCCCACTATATTCCAGTGAATCAAGGAGGCATCCGCCCGAGCAGCTTCCAAATTGTTATCTCCTTCCTCGGGGCTTAAAAAACGTTCCGCCCAGGCGACGGTTCTTGCAGAGTTCTGCCAAGCCATCTTGCTTACTCTCCACAACTTCAAGCAGACTTTGAGCAAAGGGACTCCAAGGGGACTTTCCCCCACCCTACGCGATGCTGCCAATGGCCAGCCAGGAGCTGCTGGAAAGGCCGGGAGGCATTAACCAATCCCTTGAGATTTTTCTGTCAGCACTGGCAGCGAGGTAGACTACTTCTGAACACGGAAGTTCTTCGGCAGATGGCCATCAACAGAGCATCTTGTCCTCTCTGCAGCTCTTCCAGCCATCTAACTGGGGCTAGGGACGGGGGTGGAGGGAAGGCTTACAAAACTTTTAAACTGTCTGGATTGAAAGTTAAATTGTTTGAACGTTTGTATGTGAGTCGGAGAACGAGATACCTTGGAGGTAGCCAATTCCTGGGTCAACTCCTGAATTTTCTGCTGCTGCTGAATTAGCAGTTCCTGGACTGAGGCTAAAGTGGTCTGAAGCTGAGTCACTGTAAGGAAAGAGGAGAAGGGAAAAGCGGAACATTGATTAAATTAGAACAGGCATACAAGGAAAAGAGAGAGAGCGAGAGAGAGATTCCTCGAACACGAAGCAGCAAGATCCCTCCATTTCTCGGATGTCTGATTTATCTATGAGCTCCCACTTCCTCTAACTGGTTATAATTTATCTGAGCTCTGGGTAATCTACCTGCACTGTATCTAATCTTCACCATTCCTACTTTATCTCCCCTTTGTATAGATGTCTATAGCTCACAGGGTATCCGTCTGAAACCTCTCCCTTCTAATTATGACCGTCTATGATTTGCACGGTTTCTCTGAATGGGTATAGCGTCAGTATCATTTATCTACCTCCGGATAGGCAAGGAAAACGCTCTGCTGGCTGCCGGGGGAAGAGGCTGGAGCCAAAATGGAGCAGAGACTGTAAGGTGGAGGTCCCCTGAGAAATGGTCCCGACCCACAGCAGGATCTGTCTTCCTCACCCCCCCAAAAAGTCAGATGAAACCTTTCCAGAGGTCCCATTCTTTCCTTCTTTTATCCACCTCTCAGTGATTGAATGCACAATCAATGCACATTTACGTCCAGGCTCTTTTGGCATTATGGTATGCATCTCTATTCAGAAATGTCCATTGAATTTAATGGTGCTTTCTACCACGTGCAGGTCTGGCACCTTGATTCTTCTTGTCACGGACAGCCTCTTTCATTTTCAAGGCAGTTACATTCAGAAGTTTTAGGAAACAAGTGGGTAAGATCATGCGGCTGCCCAAAAAACTTAGCAAAAGTCAAAAAGGACAAGATGGGAAACGGGATGGGTTGAAAGGAAAACGGAACTGCATACAAGGAGGCTGGAGCCGCAGAGGTGGTCCTCAAAGGGAGACCCATGAGTTTAAGCTTGGTACTTGGGACCAACTTGGGCTGGTTCATACAAAATACTAAATCCCGATGTGGCGCTTGGGGATTAACATGATGTGCAAATCTATTCAGTAGGGCTAACCTAAACCACTACAGTGCATTTAGCAAACAAAGGCTTTCAAAATCCTGACTTGAAGTTATGTGTGAAGGCAGATAATCTGGGAGGGTGCAAAGAATCTAAGGCAGCCATTCTCACTTTGGGGGCTTCCAGGTGCTGCAGCACGGGCCTCAAATGCTACGGCGCAGCACATCTGTGGGGGGTTTGAATTCAGCAAAGCTGGCTTAAGAACTATCCGGCGTTTAGCTGAAAACTCACACGTCTTGGAGAAAAAGAGCTCGGTTGGTAAAAGGGATGGGGTTTTGGGGGGGTTAAAATTATAATTCAGCAGTTCCATCCAATAAAGAGGTTTGTAAAGAAAAGATTCCAGAGGCATGACAGGTAACAGCTAATCTAGGCCATCTAACGGGGCATGGATAATAAACAGTGCCCCATAGAGTCAATAACAGAAAAAGCTGAAGGGGTCACAGGACACTCCATAATTACAGACTTTCCTGACCCGGCATTGAATTCTTGGAAGGAAAAATGTGATTTGAGGAGAGGGGAAACAGGTGCCATTTTTCTCATACACACACACACGCATATATATATATATATGAGAGAAACCAAAACACCCGACCCCAAAGAAAATACTCAGAGAAGCAGAAATTAAAAATGAACTTTACAGCCCCTTCGAAAGGCTGTCATTTTATTCCCCTTATTAATATTCTGAGGTTGGGAGCCTTTCCGTAAAAACATAATTAATTGAGGCCGCGCCGACAGTAAACAAGCAATTTCAAATTAAACCGAAATGACGGCGGCTTCATTTGCAAATGTGAACAGATTTCTCAGAGCAGATAAATGAAGTCGCCACATAAAGTGGAGATGGGGGAAAAAGGTTGGGGGAAAGGAAGGCAGGCAAGGGAGGAGGGAGACGCAGGGAGAGGGGCTTTGGGGGGCAGAAGCTGATGGGATCATTAATCTTTTACCTGTCTGCGTCACGCTGCCACTCATTTCAGAGATGCTCGACTCGATCCTCTGCAACTGTTTCCTGTCTTCCTTACCTCTCGTGATCAGGGGAAGCAGATATTTCTGCAAGAAAGGGGAACGAGGCAGGGGGGCAAAGAGAAGTTTATTCGGTTCAAAGTCCAGAGCAGCCTCCCCAAATTCCTAGGTCAGTTGGCAAAGGCAGCTTAAATGCACGTCCGCCAAGCACGTGATCCCACTGAGACGCTGTCCGGCTGCCCCTTGGACTTCACTCCTGTTGGCAGAGTGGAGGGGCAGAGCTGGGACCGTAGCCCCTGGGTGTCTTGCCCTCCTATCTGTGATTTAAGCCACGATTAAGAAAACTATGATTTGGGTCACGGTGCCAAATCATAGCTGGCTTCAAACTCAGGATAACGGATCTATTCCATACCATATTTTGTCATTCATGTTTTCTTGGCTGAGCCCAAGCCACCAACGCATAAAAACCATGGCAAAACTTCCTTAATTCGGATTTCGGATGGTACTTATATGAAGATGCTGATTGAGTGCAGGCAATTAAATCCTGATTTGATAAGGGCCCCAGATCTTTTTCCCCCTTTTCATTTCTCCCCTTGTGTAAACCAAGGTGCTGCAGCTAATTACAGTTTCTCATCATTGTCAGTCTATGGCTAGTAGCTCTGAAATAAACTAGAAGCCAACTTTAAAGGCAGGCAGAGAAGGATACACTCTTGTTAAGGTCTCGGTCCCAAAGGGAATTTCAGCTCAGCTGTGCAAGCATTCACCCCCTCACCAATAACTGGGGAAATGCTTGGATCATTTAGTTTAGAAAGGGAGCAGTTCAGCTTTTCATCTTGGTCTAGTTCTTACTTTATATAGGGAACAAAAAGTACAGATTTAGAAGGAGAGGTTTAAAGGTAATTCTTCAAAAGGGTTTATTATGTAAAAAATATGCACACCAAATGGAAGGGCCTCAGGGTAGAAAATATGTTCTCCAGATAGCCATTTGGTCTCTGCTATGTATATGAATTTGCATAGCCCTTAACACTTCATGGATGAAAATGGGGGCCTCCTTTTAACACCCACAGACACAAGCTACACATCTCACCACCACCCAATCACAGAGCACTGCAAGAGACTGTATTCATTCAGTGGCGTGCGTTCCCAAGAGCACGCTACGGCCAAACAGGTACTTGGGGGCCACTCCCATATCCCCAAAACTGAAGGGAATACGTTGCCAAAAAGGGGGATTTGAGAAAATGCTGACTTGTAGAATAATGTGCTTACATCAGCTGGTAAGTAGAGATGCGCATTTGGGAAGAATGACAATATGATCAATAGAAACAGCAAGGGGCCAGGTGAGTTAGGCGTGAGGATGCTCAGCCCGTGGCCCAGCCCTTCAAAGAGATGGCCGCATTGAATAAAAGATTCCCCTCTTTACAGAAGAAGAAATGTGAGCAGGATAGAAATGCATGTAAATGTGTCTTGCAAGAGGCCCGCCTTTTGATGCCTGTTAGTTATGATGGCGAAATGAAAAAACCCACGTTCAGAGGCAGGAACGCTGGGGTGAAGGGTGGCTTTGCACCGCCCTGAGAAAATCAGAATCATTTACCTTGTAGAGCTGGTGGAAACCGATTGCAATGCCAGTCATAATAATTGCTAGGGCACCATAATCTCTCCATCTGGAGCTCGGGGGACCTGAGGAGGAAAGCCAGCAAGCAAATAAATAAATAAATCACAGTGGAAAGCAGCATGCATTCAGAAAGGAGGAGGTACAGAGATATCCCCCCCCACACACACACTATTTAAACCATTTCCTTAAGAAGTGAGACAAATAGCTAAGAATGTCTTCTGAAAGGCTGGAGACACGGTGGGCGAAGGCATGGAAAGTCCATTACCATTCCTATCTTTGACTGCTAACATCTACCCCAGTCAGGGTTATGTGAACTACAAACGAAGGGGTTACTCTGGACCGTCACAGAAGTTCGACATCTTTATACGGTCAATAATTTGGGGTTTGAACTACGGCGAGTTCCCTCCCCCCTGTTCTCTACTGCTTTGACCTCCAGAACAACCTCCAAAGACACCTGTGGGTCTCCCACCCGACTCCATCTGTGGTGGCCTTTCACCCCTTCCATCTCTCCCTCTGTTCCCGTCATGCTCACGCTAAGAACATTTTATTGCCCCCTGGTTTTCATTATTAATGAAAAGGGACTGGGATGATCTTTCGCAAAGTTCAGAGAGTCTATAAAGAGAAGGAGCTGAAATGCCATTTTACGCGTTTTCGGGATGTGTGAAACAATTCTGTCTTGTGGCAAAAAATAAAGAGACCGAGGAGAAAGGGAAGAACTAATTGAAGCGGAGGGGGAGAATTTGCCATTTGCTTTTCTGCTGCAACTGTGGGAGGAAAATCTGTAGGCCTGGAACCAATTCTGGGGACTACTGAAGTAACTTCTGCAAACTTACTGCAGAATCCCTTCTGAATGCTGCTGGTCCAAGAAGCTAGAGGCAAAACGTGCGAGGTGACGCGGAACGATTTCTGTGCCTGGAATGAGCCCCCATAAGCAAATGGCCTGTATTCAATGCCACAGGGTTGTCAGACACCGACAAGAAAAAGACTGACTGAGTTGTAGACCAGTGTTTTCCAAACTTGGCAGCTTGAAGACGTGTGGAATACAACTCCCAGAATTCCCCAGCCAGCCTAGGGAATTCTGGGAGTTGAAGTCCACATATCTTCAGGCTGCCAAGTTTGGAAAACACTGGTCTACAACTAAGTCGCTATAAATTAAGAGTCTGTAAGTTCATTTATAAATGCACGTGCCTCCTTTCAAAGCTAAGAAGGGCTACACTGAATAGTAAAAGCAGTGTTTTGGAAGTTTAAACTAAGAACCAATGAATAGAATCATGGGGAAAAAACTCAGTTGAAACAGCTACTCAGGATAGTGACAGAAGTGCCCAAGTTAGCTGAGCGTCTTCCAAAACAATTCAGAACTTAGCTCTGCAGGACTGCCCGCAGGGTGGGCATCCTTACACTGTTGCAAGAAACCAGCTTGTAGTGCCAAGCTATTACCTCAGAGTTGGCCAGAAAGATGGTTTGCAGAAGACACAGGGTTTCACCCTGATGCAATACCTTTCTGGAAACACCCACAACGAAAGTCATAAAGATCAGGCCATCCTGAGAACGCTTAGGAGATGCAAACACTTTTTCCACACCTTGGGTAAGGAACTCCCCAGAATTTGCATGTAATGAAGCGGGTTAGGGGAGGAGGGGGAAAGACCACATAAATCCCATCTATCATTTAAACACTTAAAGCCATCCTTACTCTTGGATTAGAGTATTTCATAAATGCCAGTAGCAGATTTTTTTCCTGCCTCCTCCTCCTTCTTCCCTTTCGCTCCTTCGCCCTCCTCCAAGTAAGGGGGTTCACTTTAGGAGCATGTTTAAACTAGTCAGATTGAGTGATGCTCCCACCAACTAATCGCATGTCAAATAAAAGATATTTTATGTAATAAATTACCGCTACAAGTAATTCACTTGTCATTTATCAGTTTTATTATCAGTCAGCCCAAGTCTTGTTTCTCTATATTAATCAAAATCAAGGAGTTGGAGGTTTTGTGATTTCTTTTTTTAAGAAACAGTTTTGACACCTCTTGGCAGAAAGGGCAGATGTGAAGAGGAAGAATTCACTCTCGCGCTGACGGTGCGCACACGTTTGCACGCCCTGGTGCGCTTCACTCACTAGTGAACCGTTGCCTGCTCTGGCAACAAGGAGGGCTGTGAGTCACAGGAAGAAGGAGCAAGCCACTTGCAGCGGGCAGATTTACACCACAACCCATAATCCTCCTGGTTTGGCAAAGCAGGTGACACCAGAGGTTTAATCTACAGCTGGATCAATCCTCAAAAATGCTCTAAAAAGAGACCATCCCTTGTTTCATTCAACCTTTCCTTTGGAGTGATTCGTTTTGAAAAGTCACAAGAAAATCTACGTCTTTCCTGTGTTGTAATTTTAAGCAAGCTCTTTTCCCTGACATCCTGTCTTTCTACGTGCAGGGAGCAGGCTTATCTATCCAGCAGCATTCCGACTGATCATGCCGTGACTCTACAATGGCGGTAGATGAGAAATAATCTATGCTCTCACATTCTTTCTCGCTTTAAGATCACCCATGAAGCCTGTTGCGGAAGACCGTCTGAATTACTTCTCAGATCCAAAGGGGTGCAACTTTATTGCACCTCTGAGTTGTTGCACACAATTAATTAATTTCCCTTCTAGCTCCCCGAGCAGGGATGAGCGCCAAACCACAGCAAGGGGATTAAGTTATAGTTCATTTCACAATATCTTTATTGGGACTAATAGATGGTAGTAGATTTCTCGCCCCCGAACCTCTTCCTAGCAACTAAGATTGCATCAGCCTGGAACAGGAAACCAGCAAGAATTCCAACCTTAAAAAAGGGAGGGGATGAAGAAGATATTTCGGATTACTGGAAAGGGCAGCGTGACAGATCAACATGGATGAAGAAAGAGATCTAGGCTCTCATTTGACCAGAAGACTAACAGGCTCTATTAGCCCTTCAGAAAACAATAAAAAGGCCACGTAATACCTAGAAATAAAACAGCTTTACAACGTCCGGCAGGCTACTTACTATACGATGCGAGCTGTGTGGACTGCGTTGGCACCAACTGTGGGGATAGATTATGGGGCTGAGGTTCCTCTTTCGCAGTACCCGACTGCTGGAACGCCAGATCTATCTCTTCATCCGTGAGTCCTGGTGGGAGAAGCAAAGGAGAGGTTTGTGGAAAGCTTCTCTGCTTACTGAATGCCTCTACTAATACAGAGAACTCACACGGACTGCAATTAAGATTCTTCTTCCTCTACAGAGACTTAGCACCTCAATCCCATTTTCAACTGAGTTTGGGGGAAAAAATCCATCTATCGTCATCCTCTGGCAACCCAAAGGAGCAACTCTTCTTTCCAGATGTCAGTTGGGTTCTCATTCTTCCATTCCAGTTCCAGAGGAAAGCCGTCTTTAGTTCTGGATGGGGTCCCACCCCCCAAAAGGGGCAGATGTACAATCTGAGGGGCCTCCTGGACTTGCGTCCCTTCTAGAATGGGAGGGTGGGACCAGGACAGCTGGTTCACTGGTGGCGATCTCGCCTGGGTCAGTAGGCTCCGATTACGGCGATTCATGGCCTTGTCATCTGGGTAGACTCCTGAAATTCGTTTTACGTGGAGCTGCCCTTGAAGGCAGCTCGGCAGCTACTGGTGGCTGACTGGTGGAAGCTGGTAGAGCACAGTGACGATGATAGGGTGGGGTTGCATCCATTACCAGTCAACCACGTTGGGTATTACCTATACAGCCCAGAATGTACGGGGCCTGGAAAGTAAAGGGAGCAGGGTTCAGAGTCCAGCCTTTTTAGTGTCTGGAATAGTTGTGGCACACAGAAGATTGGGCTTTCCCCCAGAACCTGTGGAGAAGAAAGGGCTTGGTGGGGCTGACCGTACTTAACAGACTTGGCCTGCAAGGTGATAGTTCAGCTCTCCTATTATGATTTTGCGTGTGCATTTTTATTCTTGTAGGGGTAAACTGCCGAGAATTTATGGAGTAGGTGATGTGCAAATATATGGAAAAATTAAAAAAAAAATGCTTCAATCTCTCCAGTGAACATTTCTTAAAAAGTTTCTCCTAATCTGTGGCCGAAATCTGCCTCCTTGAAATTTCTTCCACTGATAATATTTCTACTCTCTAGATCTCGGAGGTGCACGACGATGTACGATTCCCTCCCCACAAGATCTGTCAGAACAGTTGCCAGAGGCTCCCCAAACATTTGACTGAACTGTTAATGTGACAGAAAAGGGAAATTATTAAATATTGGACTGGAAAGCAGTTGTCGTGAATTACAATTACACGCAAATGCAAATGAAATCAAACGAAGTCTCCCACTCCTTTTTAGAGGGTGGCAGATCACTCAAAGACCATGAGCCACCACAAGATTTTGCACATTGGTGCCTAAATTTGGTCTAATTTCTACCTGGTCACCCTTTCACGTATCTGAAGCCTACCCTGTCCCCTGAATCTTCTCCCCTCCAAGCTAAACGTGTCCGTTTTTTTCAAGCACCCCTTAACAGATTTCCGTTCTGCTCTCTTCACTGTGAATATGCTCCAGTTTGCCAAGAACAATCCCCAAATCCCTGGAAAAGTTCCATGGAAGCCTCAGAAAACTATTTCAGCAAACAAGGGCTACCCCTGAATTTTGGATTCACTGGGACGGGGCGGATAGAAACATCTCCTTTCACACTGCTGCAATTTAACCTTAAGCGATGGAGTATTAGTCTTCACTGCCACTTTCCAAATGTGGCTCATTCAATTTCCTTAATTTATCTTTGGGTTTATTGCTGCTTTTGAAGTAGTTTTTCTATTGCAATTCCCCCATTCTTCCTCTGGAAAAAAAAATAAACAAATGGGGGAAAAATATGCACCATCAACTGCAAATGTGGCTCATTTTAATCTGTAATGGTGTAAAAAAACCCCAACAACAACTCGAGAGTGGGGAGAAAACTAACAATAATGTAGGAAAACAGACAGGGAAACAAAAAGCTAATTATTGGGTTAGACGACTAATTAGTCTAGATCGTTTCTGAAGATGGGAATAATTTGCTTTATTTTATGACAAATGCCGAAATAAAAAGGGGGGAAGGCGAATGGGGAAACAGGTCTGGCTATGATTAGCGCGAGTGGGACACAGAACGCTGGGAAGGATAAAACGGAAACAGATCAGAGGAAACAGGCTCAAAATTTTCAGAAATTAGGCTGACATTCCATGGTTTTGAAAGCTGTCATTTGGGTAACAAGGATTTTATCCAGCACTTGAAGTCATCCGACATGACTGGATTGGAGGAGTGCCGGGACCTCCCCATCTGCTACGGCCAGAACAGACGGAAAAAATTTGGCCAGCGAGAGAGAGAGAAGGGGGAAGAGAAAGTAAGGAAACCAGCTGCTGACCAGTGAAGGAAGTCCTACAGCTGGTTTGATTTTGTTTAAAGAGGAGATGACACTCATTACAAACGGAAAACTAAATGAGGTTTACTCACCTTGAGCCCAAAGGTCCCTCCCCATCGGCTACAGGGAAAAGCTGCAGTGAAAAAAAAACTGCAAAAAATCCCCCCAAAAAGGATTGTTGTGGGAACAAAAGCTGGATCCCAGATTAGGGTTCGAGACTCAGCATTTGCAGTTAAGTGGCTTGGCCACAGATCTGGTGTAGCTTAACCAAGCCAAGATGAACAAACTGTGGTAGAAGACAGGTTCCAGCAACTCCTGGGCTCACATGTGGAAACCCCCTCCTGGCTTCATGAGCTTGGAGGGGCACTTGAAAAAGCCAAAACAAATACCTCATGAAAATGAAACGTGAAGTAAGCATTGCATTTACTGAGCTTGGAAGATGACGTTGTTTCGCTCAAGCATCATTTGGTTGAAGAGTTCTCCTCTGATTCTAATTTCTTGCTCAACGTCTGACCTTCCTCCATTCCAACCATTTTAGGAGTGCCAGGGTTCCTGACATCAGAACCAGGCAAGGAGGAACGAAAACGAACTCATGGGGAACTGGGATTGGGAGGAATGGGATCGGGATCCTTCAGATTTGATTTGGAGGAAGTGCTTCAGAAGGCATGGGACTATAGAAACAAACCTTCTGTGGCTCATTAAAGCAGCCCCTTTATTTTCCAGATGCAGCTGCTTTAATGAGACATTGCAGGAAACAAAATAGACTCCACGTGTCAGACTTCCCACAGTTTCAAGCCCCCAAGGCCATTATTTTCCTTGCACTTAAAGCAACTGGGAGGAACTCTGGCAACTGGACAGAAGGGTTAAGCAGGTAAATGTAACCGTTTTCTAGATCTGACTGGCCAAACACTATGGGATTTGTAGTCCCACGCTGTCTGGAGAGGAGATGCTGAGATAGGGAAGGCTGTTTATTGGGCTGAGGTCTTCCACCTGTAATTAAAAGGGAAGGAATCTGCCCATCGTTATTAAGAAGCCATTTTGGTTTTATTTATTTGCAATTCCCTCATTACCAAGTCCATCACAAGGATGGAATAATTAAAAGTTCCCAACTGAACTGCCCACTTCCCTCTCCCCCTCCCCCATTCGCAGAGAGCATTTGCGATAAATATTATCATTAAAGATTGCTCAAGAAACCACAGAGAGATTCTTTGTTTCTGAGGTCTCCCAAACTGGAAAGCTCAGGAATAACATTCATTGTTAGCCATCCCTGCTCCTAGCTCAATTCACATCCTGTTCAGAGGGGATAAAGAGATAAATTTTTGTTTCTGTGCATTAATCTGGTTGTATTAACTGGCAACAATGGGATTAGCCACAGCCCTGTAGCTTTTATTGGGGATTCTCTTAAACTGGAGGGGACTTTTTTGAGATAGGGAGATGTAGAGGTATGATCAGGACCTATGGACACCAAATAGTAGGAAAGTTAGTTCTCTACCAGTCAAACTTCCCTGGGGCATCTAGGTTGCCCTCATTGGAAACAAGTCATGCGACATAGACATCTTTTGTTAAAAAAAAAAAAAAGCAAAAACAGGATCCAATCTGAAGCTGACCCACGGTGGAGTAGGCTACAACTCTCATGTTCCCTAACCATCCAGGTCAATGAGTAGGAATGATGAGAGATAAGGTAGAACAACATCAGGTTATAAAGAATTGGACAAATGGGGGATATTCCCACTCCCAACTAAATAGAGGCATCATGTTCAGAAACAGGCAAACCATGCGCAGATGTATTTCAGAAACCATGGCTTTCTGATAAACATCTGGATCACCATTCAGGGCAACCAAGTGCTAGATAAAAGCAGCTGCGTGTTTTCTATTCCAAAAGTACTGTTATACTGCATGCTGAATCTTTGGCTTTTTTATAAAAAAAAAAAAAAGTCTTTCTCTACTGTTGATGAACCAAGCAACTAACACATCCCATCAATGTCATGCTCTAAAGAAGAATCCTGTGGAACCCGAAGTCTACGTAATCTTTACCGATCCAATTTCCTCCCCTAAAAGGACAGATGAGCCAAATTTTGGTCCACGTCCTGCACCAGATCTCATGTTTTATACCAAGTCTGTTGAGAAAGCTCCTGATTACCTATGAGTGGCATATGTACCCCCAAGTTTGACCTTCTTCCTTCTGCTCCCTGCCTCATCCTCTCCCTGTGAAGCCAATCTCCGTGTTCTCCTGGAGAAGACATAGATCACCACAAAGGTTAAAAGGAACAATAAAGAGAGCTGCCAATTTGGCCTTGAAAAGCCGAGCGGTGGCTCTATTACAAGAAGGCATCTCCCTGTGTTGTTTACCATCACCCTTGACTAATGCAGACTTTTTTTTTTGTTTTAAATAATCTCATGCAAATTAGACACACACTTCCTTCCAGTTGATTGCTATCTGCAAGGAATAATATAACCACAAGGACTGAGTCGGGGAGAAGGATGCGAGGAAAACAGGACGTGATCCCCCCCCTCCGACCCCCCCCTCCTCAATCACTACATCCATCTATCTTTCCTTCTTGCGAGATGCCAGCTCTGGACGAAGCAGCTTTTGCTCTCGTAACACCTTAAAATATTTTTCCTCCGCAGAGGCTGCTGCGCGTGCACGCGCCGTTTGCATAAATGAGGCAGGAGGGTAGTTGGCTCTTGTCTTCGAGAAGTTTGCTGCCACCACCAGACTGTTTACTTTAACCACGGCCACCCCAGGAACGACATAGATGCTAGCCGAG